GCGCTGAACTTCTATGGATGCCGGTTCCTCACTCTGGACCTATTATATCCACTGTCTTATTTCAGTGCCTATTTTATGAGTGAAAAGCAAGGACGAAATTAGGATGACACTATCTGTATTGCAGCTGGAGGCGGAATGGGGTTTTACACAAAGCCCATTGTGTAAGATGTCTGTTGCTTGGTATCACTTGGTATATTAGGAAACTTCGCGTTGGTTCAACTGGCTCCAGTTTCTTAGTCCATCATTCCTTGCTGGGCGCCAGCGAGTTTTTGGCCTCTTATAGAGAAGCACCTGGGTTGCAGTGGATTTGAGCGTTTTTGTAGGAATTGGACTGGAAGTGTAGCCACTTGTGTTTCTGAATGGCCACATGAAGCCCAAGGTGAAAGGAATTTTACCACTGGTGGAGAATGATCATCTCAGATCACATCCCTCGAGGGCCGCCCCACTTCCTCCAACATTTCAAGTTCCCTCCTTCACTTTGTGCACATGAGAGCCACCTGGGCCTGGCTGGGCTCAGGGGTGGGGTGGGGGGGATGGGTTGTCATTTGCACAGATCTGGGGTCTCCCTTAAACCTGCAGCCCCCACATCTGTCTGCTCTGCTCACTCCCCATGGCCTCCATGCTGTCATCTGTTGTTTGAGGTTGGGGTTCCTCATTTTCTGGGTTGCCAGGGAGGATGTCAGTCCATTGAGCCAGGAGCAGACCTGCAGCACAGGATGGCGGTTTGTCATGACATCAGGGACTGGCCTGGCTTTGAAGGCATGGCTGGCAGTGGCGGGGCTGTGTTTGTGGGACATGGAAGCTGGGGCATGGGGAGCCCTTCATGAGGCATGTTCCAGTAGCTCTGATGAGAGGTGACAGGGTCACACCAGGGGAATGGGAGGAGGTGGGTGTGGCAGAGAGGGCATAGAGCAAGAGAAGAGTTACACTGGAGGGAGAGAAGGGCTTTGTGGCTCAGGCATCTGAAAGGTCAGGAAGAACCATGTAGAGTGAGAAGGACAAAGAGGAGAGGCTGTCTCCGTCCATGGGACCCCTGATGGAGAACGGAATTGCACCATAGCTGCCTGGGCAGGGACCATTGCAAAAGGAAGTCAGCTCAGGGGAGCCTGTGGCTGAAGAATGATTCCAGCATGGGGGTACAGAGGCTGACATTTCTTGCTGTGGGTGATTTAATGTCGGGCCTCAATATTTCACCTCCCCACCCCTGGAAGAGCATTACACTTCCACATCCTCACCAGGGCCCGAGAGAGGGTGGATGGACTTATCCATCCCAGAGGTGTTGCTTGTGGCTGGGTGACTTGCTTACACCAATGAGATTTTAACAGACACAGCACAAGGGGAAGCCTGAACTGTGTGGGCCCTGCCAGGCTTGCCTTCTAATGCACTTGATTTTTCTTATGGGATGGGCATGCTCCAGAGAACTATGGCTCCAGCTACAGGAGGAGAGGCATGTGGAGCACATGTGGTTCCAACCCTTAGCCCGGAGCCAAGCCCAGACTAGATCAGCCTAAGCCCAGCTAAGCTGCAGGTACAGGAGTGAAAAGCAAATGCTGACTGCCTGTGACATTCACTTTCAAAGGGGCGTGTCCTGCGATGCACCTCAACCCAGCAACAATGAAGGTATTTCTCTGTCAGTCAGGTGGGAAATAATTATCGACAACATAGTGGGGAGGTGGAGTGATTTGAGTAGATTTGCTCCCTGCTTTCAAGGAGTGTCTTTTCCAGAGGGGCAGACAGAGGATGGATGCATACATGTAAATTATTCTATTGGCTGGTGCAGCAGTCATTGTGGCTTTTGCCATTAATAGCAATGGGGGAAAAAAAGCAGGGAGGAGCCAGTGCTGCAGTTCATTAAAATAATGGGAAAACTGCGATGACCTCAGCAGCAACCTAATAGAATAATCACGGGTCTGCAAAGTGTGGCAGTGGGGAAGTTCCGAGTGCTGGGATAGCGTCTGGATTCCTGGAGTCAAGAGATAGGGGTTGGTAACCTGCCCAGGGTTAGTCCAAGGGAGGGGGGTGGGCAGGGAGCGATATTTCAGTGGAGATGCCAAGGACGAATGGTGATTAGAAAACAAAACCCAGGTGGTGAGGGGGGAAGTGTTTTCGGCACAGAGAACAGCCTGTGCAAAGGCCCGGGGGTGGGAGGACACCGTGTTTTCATCCACCTGAGGGGCGACCAGCAGGCTGGAGAGCAGCAGGCTGAGAGGAGGATGGGGAACCTGGGAAAGGCACTCAGGCAGAGGACACAGAGGGGCAGAGGCCTGGAGTCAGGCTTGAGCCTGTGTGGTTTGAGGAACTGACAGAGGCCAGTCCAGCAGAAAAGGAACAGCCAAGGGAGACCACGAGGCCAGGGCAGAGGGCAGGGCCATGCTGGGCACGTTGGCTGTGACAGGAGCTGGCGTTTGTGCTCAAGTGATGGGAGCAAGCTGAAAGATTTTAAGGAGGGGAGTCATATTTGGGGTTAATGTGTACTCTGGGAACCTCAGCAAAGTAAATTCATAGTTTGAATGTTCATAAGACTTTAACTCAGACAGAGTTAAAGAAGATTCTTTCTACAGCTGTGTGATAAGATATTAAAACTATTACTATGTTTTTAAATGTCATTTCAAATAGTGTATTTCCATCTGACATTGGATAGAAGTAGATTGCAGGGTTCATGGAAAGTAGAAAAGTTAATCAAGTTGCAAGAATATAAAAGAGACATTAATTTGAAAGCAAAACATTTATTCATTTACTTCTGCTGTGGTTTTGTTGACTGCAGAATTCCATGAGAAGGGATTGCTCAGGAGTGTCCTGAAGCTGGAGACCCAGGAGGAGCTGATGGTGTTGTTGTTTAAGCCTGAGGGTCATGGAGGAGGAGACCTGGCCAGGAGCAGTTCTTTTTGTAGTTTGAGGGAGATGCAGCTACGGACCTGGGCAAGAGCAGTTCTTACTTTACTTTGGGGCCAGATGGCTGTGGACCTGGGCAGGAGCAGTTCTTTTTGTTGTTTGAGGGAGACACATCTGTGGACCTGGGCAGGAGCAGTTCTTTAGTTTGAGGGGCACACAGCGGTGGACCTGGGTAGGAGCAGTTCCTTTGTTGTTTGAGGGAGACACATCTGTGGACCATGGCAGGAACAGTTCTTTAATTTGAGGGGCACACAGTGGTGGACCTGGGCAGGAGCAGTTCTTTTTTGTTGTTTGAGGGCCGGGCATGTTGATATCTGGGCAGGAGCAGTTCTTACGTTAATTTCAGGGCCACACAGCTGTGGACCTGGGCAGGAGCAGTTCTTTTTTGCTGTTTGAGGACTGCACAGCTATGGACCCGGGCAGGAGCAGAACTTTTTGCTATTTGAGGGCCGCACAGCTGTGGACTGGGCAGGAGCAGAACTTTTTGCTGTTTGATGGCCACACAGCTGTGGACCTTGCCAGGAGCAGTTCTTTATGTTGTTTGAGGGCCGGGCTGCTTGGTGTCGGGGAAGGAACAGTTCTTACATTAATTTCAGGGCCACACAGCTGTGTACCTGGGCAGGAGCTGTTCTTTTTGTTGTTTGAGGACTGCATAGCTGTGAACCTGGGCAGGAGCAGTTCTTTTTGCTGTTTGAGGGCCGCACAGCTGTGGACTTGGGCAGGAGCAGTTCTTTTTGTTGTTTGAGGGCCACACAGCTGTGGACCTGGGCAGGAGCAGTTCTTTTTGCTGTTTGAGGGCCGCACAGCTGTGGACCTGGGCAGGAGCAGTTCTTTTTGCTGTTTGAGGGCCACACAGCTGTGGATCTGGGCAGGAGCAGTTCTTTTTGCATTGTGAGAAACACCCAGCTGAGGATCTGGGCAGGAGGAGTTCTTACTTTAGTTTGAGGGCCACACAGCTGTGGAACTGGGCAGGAACAGTTCTTGTGTTACTTTGGGGCCACACAGCTGTGGACCTGGGCGGAAGAAGTTCTTTTTGTAGTTTGAGGGCCACACAGCTGGGGATCTGGGCTGGAGCAGTTATTACTTTAGAGGACCTGACAGCTGTGCACCTGGGCAGGAGCAGTTCTTTGTGTTGTTTGAGGGCTGCACAGCTGCCGACCTGGACAGGAGGGGTCTTACTTTGGTCCATGCAGATGGGGTTCTGTGCAGGTGCGGTTCTTACCTTAGGTTGATGGCTGCAGCTGGGTACCTGGGCAGGAGTAGTTCTTACTTTAGTTTGATGGTTGCACAGCTGGGGACTTGGGCAGGAGGGTTCTTACTTTATTTTGAGGGCTGGGAGTTCTTACTTTAGTTTGATGGTTGCACAGCTGGGGACTTGGGCAGGAGGGTTCTTACTTTATTTTGAGGGCTGGGCAGCTAGGGACTTGGGCAGGGATGGCTCTTTCTTTAGTTTTAGGGCTGCACAGCTGGGGACCTGGGCAGGAGGGGTGCTTATTTTAGTTTGAGGGCCACAGAGCCTTGGACTTGGGCAGGAGCAGTTCTTTCTTTAGTTTGAGGACCATGCAGTTGGGTACCAGAACAGAAGTGGTTCTTACTTTAGTTTGAGGGGGCAGGAGCAGTTTTTGCTTTAGTTAGAGTTGGAGAGTCCAGAGAATCCAGTGCTGCTGCTGTAGAATAAGGATAGGCTAGCTGGAATCCTTGGGAGGAGTCAGTGATGCTGTTACATCTGAGGTTCTTGGAGCTAAACATGGAGCCAAAGTTGGGAAGGAGAGAGAGAGAGTCCCAGGAGGGCACCTGAAACTGTAGATGTAGCTTTACACCAAGCAAGCTAAGCCTGGGAGTGTCTCAGTCCACGGTATCAATGCTTTCTCTTTCCTCCTACACAGTTGGGATTTGTTTTCTGTCTCACAAGACAGAAAGACCCTGATCAATACCCTCAGGAATTGAAAAGCTTAAAAAAAATGCTGTTGGCAATAATAATAATAGTAGAAATGTAACCAGGATTATCCTGACTGATAGAGACAAAATTACACATACACACAATATATGTCTTTTCAATGGTTAGTAAAATAAAAATAAATAGAAAAATACGTCCAAATAAAGCTCTATAAGGTTGTTTCAAGGAGAAGGGGTGAAGGACAGAGGTGAATCTGAGAATTGCTGCTGATGGACACACGGAGAACTTACATTTTCCCCACGTGGTTTCAGTGCACAATGATCTTCTGTGAGACCTGGCAGCTGGGTCACTTTGTACAGCTGGGGATGCAGTGGGCGTCACAGAAGGACCCCGTCCCAGCTGGTCCTGCCCCTCTGCTGTGATGAATGTGGCCTCTGATCTCCAACAACTGACTGAGTTTTGAGGGGAGGCCAGGCCTGTGAGCATAAGGGTATCCCTGGTGAGGTTCCGTGGGTGGAACATCTCGGATGTGCTTGAGGTTCCTTCCTGATGCTCATCTACCCTCTTGCTCTTCAATGCATCTTGCTTATAACTGTCTTCTCAATATTGTATAGGAAATAAGCACTTGTATAATACGGGTCAGGTATAAGGAATGTTCACACATTGGACACACGGGACCTCCACGAAGTTTAGGGAATAGAATCTGAAGAAACCAAACTTTGAATGCTCCCTGGAGGCCCCTCCCGAATCCCAGTTCCTTCCCTTCTCCTTCAGAGGGAGTCACTTTCTGCTTTAGTCTTTATAATTCCTGTACTTTTCTTCATGGTGTGTTTCTTTCCCTACATTTGTGCGCATCCCTAAACAATACTGCATGTGGTTTTTGAACAGTCTGTTGTCTTTTTGAGGCAGGGTCTTGCTCTGTTGCCTTGGCTGCAGTTTTGAACTTTGATGTGAAGAAGTCTCCTGTATGGCTGCTTCTCTGCTGCACTGGCTCTGAGCATTTGCTCCATGTCTATTTTCATTCTCCGTTCTCTTCCTGAGACCCATCCACACTGACCCGATTCATTTTCATTGATGCATGATCTCTCCTGGTGGACGGGACTGTGGGAAATATCTTCATTTTCCTGCTGATGAGTGATTGGCCAGATGGGCCCCTAGGACCGTGTTACTGTAAAGGTTCTTGGGCATTTCTTTTGTACACAAGTGCAGTTTCTTCTGGTCAGTGGCTTTCAATTTTAAAAATTTCATCCCAGTAACAAATGTAATTTTCCTCATAACCCACAACACACACCCCTTCATAAGCAAGCATAGCAAAAATAATTCACAATCATTCTTAGTGGTGGCTGAACGTTCCTGTGGCTCTCCATTCTTCCCAACACTTGCACTGATTGTGGGATTTTTGCCAGTCTGCTGGATGTCACCTGGTATCTCAACCTGTTAGGCTGAGAACCTCTTCATGTTGTTATCGGCCACTTCTCCACATTTTTTTCTTCTGTGAAGGTCTGGTTCAGCTCTTTTGCCATGTTTCTGTTTAGTTGTTTAAATGTTTGCCTTTTTCTTTTATTATTGTTATTATTATTTTTATTATTATGTTTTTGAGATGCAGTCTTGCTCTGTCCCCCAAGCTGGAGTGCAGTGGCACAATCTCAGCTCACTGCAACTTCTGCCTTCTGGGTTTAAGCGATTCTCCTGCCTCAGCCTTCCAAGTACCTGGAATTACAGGTGTGTGCCACAATGCCCAGCTAATTTTTGTATTTTTACTAGAAACAGTGTTTCACCATGCTGGCCAGGCTGGTCTCAAACTCCTGACCTCAGGTGATCTGCCTACCTCAGCCTCCCAAAGGGCTGGGATTACAGGCATGAGCCACCGGGGCAGGCAGGCAGGGCTTGCAGGCTGCTGTGAGGACTTGGCTTCCTCTCTGAGTAGGGTGGGATTAGCAGGGGATTTAACCAGAGGAACCATGGGGTTGCCCTTAGTATTTCTGCCATGGTTGGCTCAGCTGAATGCACCTCTTGAACAAGACTTGGCCTTGGACACCCAGAGGCCTGTGGTTGAGGGTTCCCTCCTGACATGGCACTGACACATCGATGTTTGGAGCTTACACAGCGGGGCAGCCCGAGACCTGCTCTGCCTGGGCCTCTCATCTGTGGCGTTTCTCAAGTTCATCCCTTCCCAAGTCTCTCCCATCTGTAAAACCAAACACCTCTCTCTTCTACATGGAAACCCCTGGCAGCACCTCCCTGACTCACAGGGCATCCTGTCAACATCACAGTCCTGACTTTCCCATGTGGTGAAGCCCACGGGACCTCTGATGGACCAGGACAGTGCCAGCTCTAAGACATCCCCTGAAACTCACAGGAAGAGCAGACCAAGAAGACGGGAAGAGCACAGGGCGCAGGCAGCAGAACTGCCCACGATACTGTCAGAAATGAAGGAAGATACGGCCACAGCTGATACAAAATGCTACTCGACATTTGTTACAGGCCTAAACGTAGAACATGATGCTACAAAACCTTTAGATAAAAATGGGAAAATTTGCACAGCCTCGGGTTTGGTGAAAAGTTTTTAGACCTGACACCAAAAGCATGATTCATAAAGGAAAATATTGACCAATTAAATTTAGTCATAAATTTAAAATTGTAACTCTATATAACAATATAAGAATTTAAAGAGAATGAAAGTACAAACTGTGGTCTAGAAAAAAATATTTGTGAATCACACATTTCACAACGTACTGGCACGCAGAATATATGAAGAACCGTTAAAACTTAACCATAAGAAATGAAAACCCTGGTATAAAAGAGAGGGCAAATATTTGAATGGAGGCCTCATCAGAGAAGGCATCAGGAGGGCAGACTGCCCAGGACAGACACTCAGCATCACAGAAATGTTGGAGAAATGCCAGTTCCACAGACCAGGAAATGTCCTTCTCCAAGCCTGGGAGCTGCCTTGGAAAATGAGGCATCAAGAATGAAAGGGCCTGGCCCCCAGGCTATGAGGGAGGGCAGGAGCTTAACTCCACTGAGGAGGGTTAGGGGGCTGGCCCCTTGCTGAGGCTTCCAAGGCTTTCCCCTCTTCTTGGCAGCCCCTGAGGCCCCTCAGCCCTCCTTCCATGTGCTGCAGAGGAGCTGGTACGCTCCCGTAGCACAGTGGTCTTGAATAAAGCCTTTCTTGCTTGTTTAGAACCATCTGATGCAATTTTTGGCACCCCAATTACTTGTTCTCATAAGAGACCTTGCATCAGGTGGTCATCCCCAGCCTGTGGGTAGAGACGGGGTCCTGAAGCCCCCCTGCATCAGTCACCAGGGTGTACACAGAGAGAGCTTGGGGTCACCATAGAACAATCTACTCAACACTCAGGAATAAAGGAAACATGAAAACAGCCACACATAAAAAACTAAAAAATAATGGTACACGGAATGGCACCTAAAGGAAGAGTGTGATAAATATAAATGAGAATATTGGATGCACACACATGCCCGTGTCCGCCCTGCCAGGTAGAGATGCCATAAATCACATCAGAACTTTCTCTGGGGCTGGAGCAGTGAGAGCAAGGGACACAGAGAATGGGGATGAAGGGGAAGGATGAAAAAACCCACCTGGGGCAGCAGGTCACCTTGGCGGGGGCAGCAGCCTGCTGGGCAGGGCAGCTGGGGTAGCGACCCCTCCAGGTATCTAGGCAGAGAGTTACACAGGGGCTGAGCACCCACAAGATGAGAGGGTGGGTTCTAGGCTGAGCTCTAGGAGTGACTCGGGGATTAACAGAACATCCACATCAGAAGTCCCACCCCTGAGGTCCCCTGGCCCCTACCATGCTGCATTCTAGGATCATTCAAGGCCCCAGCTGCCATGGCCACCCCTACTGCTGCAGAAACCTGGGTCCCATTTAAACCCTGATATGGTTTGGCTCTATCCCCACCCAAATCTCATCTTGAATTGTAGTTCCCACAATTCCCATGTGTTGTGGGAGG